TTAGTCCCCAGCCCCCGCCTCTCCCTCTTCCTAGGACCCAGGAGCTCGGGCCCTCACCCTTCTCCTTCCCCCAGCACCCAAGGTCTGGAAGCCAGGTCCCTTCTGCCCCCAGACCCTCCTCCTCCCTTGGAGCCAGAAGCCAGTCCCCAGCCCTCCTCCCTCAGACCCAGGAGTCCAGGCCCCAGCCCCTCCTCCCTCGGACCCAGGAGTCCAGGCCCCAGCCCCTCCTCCCTCGGACCCAGGAGTCCAGGCCCCAGCCCCTCCTCCCTCGGACCCAGGAGTCCAGGCCCCAGCCCCTCCTCCCTCGGACCCAGGAGTCCAGGCCCCAGCCCCTCCTCCCTCGGACCCAGGAGTCCAGGCCCCAGCCCCTCCTCCCTCGGACCCAGGAGTCCAGGCCCCAGCCCCTCCTCCCTCGGACCCAGGAGTCCAGGCCCCAGCCCCTCCTCCCTCGGACCCAGGAGTCCAGGCCCCAGCCCCTCCTCCCTCGGACCCAGGAGTCCAGGCCCCAGCCCCTCCTCCCTCGGACCCAGGAGTCCTTCCCCAGCCCTCCTCCCTCAGACCCAGGGGTCCTCCCCACCCCTCCTCCCTCAGACCCAGGCGTCCTTCCTCACCCCTCCTCCCTCAGACCCAGGAGTCCTTCCCCACCCCTCCTCCCTCGGACCCAGGAGTCCCCAGCCTTCCGGGGACCTGGCGCTTAGCCTCTCCTTGTTGGGCCGTCCCTGTTGGCTCCCAGGGTTGGCTATGGGGAGGGTGGAGACTCCTGGGAGTCAGCTCACTCCTTAAAGGGTTCCCCCGCGGCCCACCGGTCCTCCCTAGGGCCCAGAAGGACACAGCTGTGGCCAGAGGAGCCAAGACGGTCCGCTGACATGCCCGAGGCTAAACCAGGTGGCTTTGGCACTTCCCCCTGCGGAGCCCTGTCCTTTCTGAGCGGGATGGGGCTCCTCACTCTGTGATTCGGGGAATGGGGCGCCGCCTCTGGGGGGAGCGGGCTTCCCCCCCTTGCGTGTTAGGGGGAAGGTCCCCTTCCCCGTGCGGTGAGGGTGAGGGGGTCCCTTTGTGGGGACTGGGGAGGCCCCTCTCTGGGTGGGGAAGGTCTGCCTCTGCGTGTGTGTGTGAATCCCGGGGGGACGGGTCCTCTGGGTGGGGATCGGGCCTGTTCTCTGGGGCGAGCCGTCCTCGCGGGCAGAGTCAGGGCGTCCTGTCTGTGCGGTGAGGGGAGCGCATGAGGGTGAGGGCTCGCCTTCCTGTAGGAGCCAGGGCTTCCACGTCAGACTCAGGGGCCCTAGCATAAGGGCTCCGAGCCTTTTTTAATGTGCAGACTGGGGGGCACTTCTTGATATGGGGGTGGGGGTCCCTCTCGGTGGGGAAATGAACCTCCCGGGCTGCCCAGGCCACTGGCCCTAGGTCAGCCAGGCTGTGGGGTGGGGGTGCGGCCCCTCACTGCCACTGGGCCCCCCTGGAGCCAGGAGCCAGCAGGCCGGCCTGCCAGCAGAGGTGCTGTGGTCAGCACGAGGTGTCCAGTTTCCAGCCCGGGCGGGCGGAAGAGCTAATTTTACCCCCAGGACCCAAAGGTCAGGGCCTGTGGCCTGGAGCATGGGGCACAGCCTGCCGGCCAGGGCGAGGGGAAACCTGATCGCACACACTCAGGAGTAGAGATAAATTTAATTTGTCTGGCAGGGGGCTGGGTTGGACCCCTGGGTCTGAGGGAGGAGGGGCTGGGGTCCTGGACCCCTGGGTCTGTGGGAGGAGGGGCTGGGGGCCTGGGGGCCTGGGTCTGAGGGAGGAGGCGCTGACCATGTGCTCAATTGGCAACACCCATCTCTTAGCGGCCAAAACGGCCCCGAAAGGCAAAGATGAGGCCAAACCTGCTGCCGAGGAAACCGCTCCCAAGGAAACCCCCACAGAGGAGGCCCCCCCAGAGTCCCCCAAAGGTGAGATGGTGTCCCGGGGGCTCAGCAGAGCTTGGACCTCACCGCCCAGGCTCCCCTGGCCCTTCCGCACTCTCCCTGCCCTCCCCACGGTGCCCCCAGAGCTGACCCGCCCCTCCCCAGCCTTCCATGGCTCCCCAGTGCCCCTGAGACAGAGCCCAGCTCCCCAGCCTGGCCTGCAAGCCCCGCCGCCCCAACACCTGGCTGATTGGTCACTGAGTCCTGCCCGCTGGGAACGCCCTGTCCCTCTTGGCGCCTCTCCTGTTGCAAAGCCCTGCTCAGGACCATCCAGTCCACCCTCCCGTTCACAGATGGGGAAACTGAGGCCAAGGGGCTAGGCCGGCCTGGCCAAGGTCACACAGCTTCCTGGGGTCACGCGGTCTCTCCCAGGTCAGGAGAGGCCACGACATACCACGGCCTTTGGCTTCTGGGCAGAGGGTCCCTCACTGGCTCTAAGCCCTGTCCCCACAGTGGCCTGTGGCCCCTCCCAGTGCCTCAGACCCAGACCCCGTCCTGTCTCCCACCAGAAGCCCCATCTGAGGAGCAGTCCCCCACTGCCGAGGAGCCCACGGGCGTTTTCCTGAAGAAGCCAGACTCTGTGTCTGTAGAGAATGGTGAGGGGCCTGGTCGATACTAAACAATGGAATTCTTCAGTGATGGATATGGAACACTTGAATTACAAGCAAATAGAACGTTAAAACAACACGGGGAATGGGTCCGAGGGAGGAGGGCTGGGGCACTGGACTCCTGGGTCTGAGGGAGGAGGGGCTGGGACTCCCAGCCTCCAGTCCTCTCTAGAGTCTGGGGTTCCCACCTGACCACTCCCTCTCATCCTTCACCCCCCTCACCTCCGCGTCCCCCGCTCCCCCCAGGAAAGGACGTGGTGATCGTGGCCAAGGTGAACGGGAAGGAGCTCCCAGGCAAACCGACCATCAAGTGGTTCAAGGGGAAGTGGCTGGAGCTGGACATCAAGAGCGGGGCCCGGTTCACCTTCAAGACCAGCCATGACTCCGCCAACAACGTGAGGGCCAGGGGCACGGGTGGGGCCAGGGCTGGAGCCGCGCCGGCCTGTGAACTCCGGGGTGTCATCCTGGGCCTGGGTTCCAGGGATGGAGACTGCTGGGGGCTGCTTGGCAGAGGTTGTGTTGGGCAGGAGGGGAGACCGTTGGGGTTCAGGCACTTGGGCACGGTGTGTGCGTTCCCAGGAAGTCTCAGGGGGCCAGGGCAGGGGCCTCAGGATCAAG